AAACATTATAGGGGCAGAGACTTTGTAAGAAATGAGTGGCAATGCTTCTATTTCCAAACCAAAGACATAAAAAATTAATATTAGGGTTTCAAGCCCACCTAGCTAGACTTTTACCAATCAAATACTCAGTTTTAATAAATACCACTTTCAGAAACCACTTTTTCAGTTTAGGTATTTTACAGAATATCTCAGAAGTGCTAGTTGAGAAAATAATCTATTTTCCATTTGTTGAGAAATTTATCACGTGCCATACATTTATAAAACTCCTTGAAGGAAAAGGTTTTTCATCCACCAACATAATACAGCTGTAAATTTTGAAATCCCAGCATAAGTGAGCTGTTGATTTCAGCTTTACAGAGCAATCTCCAGACTCTTCAACCACTGGTGACACAGAAGTCTTCTCTCTTAGATGGACTCTGGTCAAAATGGATCCAAAATGTAGAACTGGAACCAAGAATCTCTCAGACTTCTGGGCACACACAAGCTCATTTTGCGACTTATTTATCACCAGCCTGGTTTGCTGGGGAACCAGGGCTTATGCAGTCGTTTTTGCAACCAGTCTGCACCAGCAACCTGTGAGTCCCTTTGCCAACTCCAACTCAATTTGAAAGGGCAGTCATAAAGCTAATGCAGTCTGGAGAACTAACAAATCTAGGGCTGATGAGACTAACCTATCCACCTGCAGGGGAAAGCAAAAGAGACCTCCATCAGCCTTTTTGTTCTCTGAGAGCAGCGCACCAGCCAGCTGGCATGTGCCCTTGCTCACCAGTCAATTTGCAAGCATCCCTGAAGGTCAGCCACAGCCCGGCTCTCTCCTACCCATCAGCAGCGCTCAGGGAGTCAAAAGGGGGGCAGCTGCGGTTACTGGGCGAAGAAAAAGTAAGGCAAAGATCACAAAACCTCAAAGGAAATTAGACTGTAGGGACTTTACCAATGGAACGACTTGCTTTATAGCGACAGTCAAAATCCCTTCCCATGAGATTTTACCATGCAAACATTTTTGTACTTTCAGTGTATGAAAACAGCACAAGTATAACAGAGTATATTAGCATTATTAAAGCTAAGATAAAAGCAAAAAACCAAGCATGCTATATATTCATTCTCCATCCAAGTGTTGGAGGAAAATAAAAGGATGTTAGTGATGCTAGCTACGAGCTTCTGTATCATTTAAGTTACAGTTACAAGTGATCGGGTTGGAGCAGTTTAAGAAGTTTCTGCCTTTCAGATGAGAAACAAAAACTGACTCTAAATAGGCCCAGTCCCATCAAAGCCAAAGGAAAATGCGTTTGTGAAAACAGTCTATCAGCGGCCCCGGCAATATCAGAAATACTCTCTGACACAGGTAACTATTTTAATCTTTAAAGGAGGGAGCTAAAGTGACAATTCTCTACAAGAAAACTTTGAATGGAAAAGAAAAGCTGGTGTACAGGTAGGAGAGCTTGAAACTGTAGATTAATTGTTTGATGAAAAGCAACTCAAGTTCCATTTTTCTTTGGAGGGCAGAAGAGGAGTTTGCAGGGGTCCAGGCTTCCGAGTGTCAGCTACCCGCAGGACAAATGATTGCTGCCAAGCATAGGCCCCACGCCCGATTCTTTCTTGTAGCCTGATCACTGCAGGAGAAACACTACTAGCTGAGCTTTCCCTGCTCCTTACTATAGTAAAGTTGTGACCTCAAAAGCTCCCAATCCTCCTTGGAAGGCTAGCGGTCAGCTCCCCACAACAGAAGAGAAACTGGAGCGCATCAGTATCGATCCTCCATTCTACTCTTACCATCTCCATGTAGAGCTTCAAATCAAGCATAATAGAAAAATGGCATAGATGGAAGAAATTCTGCTCAGAAGCGTCCTTGACAATCCTTGCACCTTAGAATTAGAAAGGAGCCCCCATCCTTTCTAATTAACTTGAAATTGCTACATTATAAAATTCTCACTGATGTCTGAAAACAGTTATATACTAATGAAGACGGGGAAATGAGGTTTTACAGTAACAAAGAAAATAATTTTAATCTATGTTAACAGGTGATATTTAAGGTTACAGCTGGTGATAGTATTTCTGACAGACGAAGGCAAAGCTGCGTTAATAACAGGCACATTTGTTTATATGACTTATTTCATGCAAAGAGCATGATTCAGAAAAAAATGCAGGGTGAAGGCAAGCAATCACAAGAGGCCATTCATCATTCTGCCTACGGTTTTTTTTGTTAATGCATCCACAGAACTGCAACTGTGCTCATTCCACAAGAGAGAAGTTCACGGCAGAGGGATTAAAACAGACAACCTTTGTCATCATTCTCCAGCTGTCAGTCAGCCTTTTCTATCTGCCAGCATGTGTAGACAATATCAGCTCCATAAACAATGCCACTCCTTTAGTGCATTGCATTGAAACGATGACAACATTAAGCGGCTACTGCAAAAAGACACAAGGTTACGTAAATCCAGAAGCTGAAGTAGTTAATTGGCTGTTTGTCAAACACCCGCAGCAATCCACTTTGGTTCCACTGCTATACTAGTAATTAAAAAGCTAATTGCTATTTTATTTAGGAAGCCAAGAAACCCTAAATATAAAGTCATGAGACATGCAGCTTGCTGAAGTGAGAATGGTAACGCTCTCTGTTCTCATCAACAGATCCCTGCAGTATAAGTGAGCTATCACCTTGTGAAGGTTTATGCAAATACTTGTCACGAGAGTAAGTAGCTGATCAGAAATCTAGGCAATACCTCCTTCCCCTTTCTCTGTCTGAGATTCAAGGTTTAAATGGAAAACTAACACTGTTGTTGTATTTATTTTGATGAAACCTCTTCTGTCTGATGTTCATGAGATAAAGGCCTTTGGGCCAGAATTTTCTCTCTCACAAATGAATTTCCCCCTAACTCCATAGTGTTTCAGGTACGTAAACCTAAGCTGAACTTACCCTTTTGTTTGAAAACAGTGTCACTGGTGAAAATGCTGGGCAACCTGGAATTTTAAAGAAACGCAAGGAACAGAGTAATCTGAATCTCAATGTTTCAAGTGAAAGAAGACTTACAACTTTGTGAGCGGCAGAACTGTTTCAAAACATGCCCAACATCTACAGCTGAAGAACGTTGTCATTGCTGTCTGCTTACAGTGCTGCTTTCCTCCTTTTCATGCACCGTATAGTACCAAAAGAAGGGG